CTCCGAGCAGGAGAGTTTGCCGGCCAGCCGGCCCGCCGGCCTACAGCCTGCAGCCGACAGAGAGGGATCTTCCTTCGCAGAGCTGAACGAGCCACTTCTTCCAAACCGTCTCCGGCCGGGGGCAGAAGCCGGTCAACAGGCAGGTCGCAACTCCAGGGCCTCGTGTCAGCGGGGGCAGATTGGGCTCTGCCGGTCCGTGCTCCGAGGTGGAAGCTCCAGACATTGGAAAGCCCCTGTGGCGCCCTTGGAGCCCAGGCCCCGCTTGGAAGGCGTCGCCGGCCGGTAGCCCTTCAGCTACCCCACAGACCCATCCAGTGAAGGGAAGCCCACTCCCCTCTTCTCTCGGAGGAAACGCGGCACCGCCCTCACAGCTCTCCCCTGGCCTGCTTCCCGGCTGGAAGCTGCTGAGGGGGCTTTTCTCCAGGCCACGTGCTGCTTGCTTTTCAGGTTTCTTCTGCTGGCGGGAAGGTGAGGGCGATTTGCAGGGGGAGAGGAGCTCTGCCCGCTGGCTGGGATGGAAGCACGGCTGACATAGGCCTGGGTGGTCAGCGCCGGCCTCCGACACAGGGGCCTTGCTGGCTTTTGACATCCGATGATGTTCCCTTTGTGTCCTAAAATATGCACTCTGAGTTCTGCTCGACAGACAGCCCTAATCTAATCTTCATGTCTGCTTTCTAATTTTCATAGTCAGGGTAAAACAAATTGGCCCACATTAATTGTCTGCACAGCAACCCAAAGCTTCGAGTTTTGATTTATGAGCTCAGAGCAAGCACTCTGCAACACATTTTTCTTAATTTATTTTTAATGAGTCTCTCAATTAATTTTCCGGGAAACATCTTAATGATGTTGGAGATGGATGTTAATAAGGTCTGTGCCCATGCGCCTTTCAGGCACTGAAGAGCCCTGTGTGTGAAGTATTGCAAAGGCATCCTGCTGGTAGTGGCTTGGCAGATGGTGGTATCTGCTGCTGGCTGTGCTTCCAGGCTCCAGCACTTCCTTCTCGGGGCCTGCTTTTGAGCAAAACAGTGGGCTGTCAGACCAAAGCCAAGTTTTGTTTGTCTGAGCAGGAATTTCCAGAAACCAGAAGGATCTGCAAGGTTTATGGGAAAAATTATTCTCACCCTTCAACAATACGACTCATCAGCAGTCATTGTCCTCAATTCCGCCCGCAAGTGCTGCCGTCAGTGGGGATGCCACTTAGCCAGGCCTAAAAGCCCTCCCTCCAGAGGCTTCCTGGCAGTGCCTCAATGGCCCTCTGAGATGCCAAGCCTCTGCCTCCTGGATCAGTGCCAGCGAAGGGGAAGCCCCACTCAGATCTCCAGGTAAGGGGACTACCTCTTGCCCAGGTTCAGTGCCATCCTACATGGTCATGGTGCAAGAGAAGTGCCAGCATTCTGAAGGCAAGTTGGTTGTGCGATCTCTGCACAGTACTAGGTGCAGCGTGCACTGAGCCCAGAGAGCAACTGCCAAATCTGGTGTCTCCAGTGGAGGAACATGATCAGGCAGAGCCATGGAATTGGGTCGGGGTAGCACAAAGTCCATCCCCTCACTCCATGCAAATAAGCAGAATCTCTGAGCCCTCCCCCCATCTCTGCCTGTAGCCCTTGGATGACAGCCAGGGTCCACCACTCCAGTCCTGTGACCTCTTACTTGCAGGACCATACGGAGCACCGGGAGCTGCACAGACACCCAATTCAGCTGCTTGTGGTTTCCAATAGGCAGACAGTCACGCTGTGGCAGCAAGTGCTGCTTCCTCCCCAGCCCCAGCTCGTAGGGCTACTTCTTCCAGATGTGGTTGGCATCTGCGGGGCCTGAAGGCTGCCACAGATTGGCTCAGCAACAAGAGGCTAAGGCGGGGATGGACAGCTTCCTGTGTGGCAGCATCTGCGGGTGAAAGCATGGGGAGACGGTCACCGCAGCATTGCTTAGTTCACAGCTGCTGCCCAGTGTTTTTGCCCCTAAAGGCCGAGACACGTGTGCTGTGGTTTGGGCTTCAGCTCTTCAAAGGGGCCGTCAGTTCCACAAACCCCGAGGACTAATTTGGCTCCCAGGAGACCTCTTCCAGCCATGAAAGCACCAGTTGCTACTTCCCCATCAGCCCGTGGACTTGCTCTTTCATGCGTGGAAGGAAAGAAGAGGTGCCCTGTTGTGTGTCCCAGCAATGGAAGACGAAGAGGGACCAGCTGACATCCTCCTGGCCCTCTTCTCAGACATTTGGGTTTTTTGCTAGGCCTTCCCCAGAAGCAGGTGGCCTCCTTGCAGATCCAAAACTCTTGTCCTCATCCAGGCCTAGCTTCTTCCAGAATCAGCTGGGATGATTTTCGTAGTTGACATGCAGGAGGATTGAAGCTCACTTTCCAGTACCCCTTGATTTCTGCCAGGCCAGGCTCTTGTCCCAGAGCCAGAGGGTCAGCTTCAGCAGACCATGGAGCAGTCAGAGCAAAAGCACACGCTGAGCACCAACCGATTCTCTTGTGACACGGCTGCCCTGAGTGAACCATGCCACAACTATTATTCTTGACCTCTCAGGCAACATCATTCGTTGTTCCTGGAGAGGCTGTTCAGGTGGAAGAAGGGCTAAGAGAGAGGCCCCAAGCTGAGCAAGCACTGCTGGCTCCCCTTCTCCAAATATTCTCTGCAGTCCTGCACGTTGGACTCGTACCAATGAATTAGTTCCTGGGGAGGTGATCTCCTTCAGCCAGTTTGTGAGAAGCAGATGCTTTGGTGGGAGCCTTTCTTTGTTGCTCAGGGAGGAACTTTGGTGATCTTTCTCCAACTCAGAGGTGAGGGGTTCCCCAGCTTGACCCCTGGATTATGTTGTCTTCACAGAGTAAGAGCAAGGCTGCTCTCCCAGAGCAGTTGCAAGGTAGCCAAGTGGTAGTGGAGCAGCTACAAGATCAGGTACAGCTGCAGCAAAAGAAGCTAAAGATGGATGGCCTAAGGCAGACCCAAAGCCTTGAGTGTGTGCTAGAAAGACAGCATCTGGCTGTGGAGATGCTGCTTCAAGAAGGCCAGGCCCTCAAGGCCCAGGTGAGCTTCAGAACTCCCTTCTACCTTCCCTACAAGCTGGGGCATGGCCTCATTCTCTCCTCCTCTGTATACTTACAGCTCCGACAATATAAGGCAGTGACCCAGGAGCAGGAAAGAGAGCGTTCTCTTCAAGTCGAGTGGGATCAGCACATGTGGGAGCAGTTGAATCAAGCAGAGAGTTATGCCCATGTTCTGGAAAGCAGCTTGGATCTCTATAAGAAGAAGTACCAAGCTGCCCTGGGCCGAGTTGGCGAGCTCGAGAGTTGGATGCAGCATCTGGAAAAAGAGGTGATCACTAGCCAGGGCCACCCCTATTGGTGGTGAGCTGGTTGAGGGCAGTGGAAGAAACAAGAGCCCTTCTGCTGCCAATCTCATCTTGAGCTGCTCTGTTGTAGGCCGGGGGGAAGGCCACTGGGCACGCAGAGAAGCACATGCTTCTGGAAGATCTTCAGAGCAAAGGCCAAGCAGAGGACAACCTTGCGCAGTTCAAGGGAGAGCAGCACAGTGCTCAGGAAAGGGGCCAGGCCGTGCAGCTCACCTGCCAGCACAAGGCCATCATCCAGGAGCTGCAGATACAATTGGCAGCGAGCCGTACCAAGGTAAGCTTGGCCTCAGCCCTTCTACTCTCACTCGGTAAAGAGGAAGCTGGCAAGGTGGGAACTAATACCAGATGGAACTCAGATGTCAAGCTTCAAGTCTGTTGCGAGAAAAGGGCCTAGGATTTAAACCCTGGGGCTGACACATAAAAAATTAGGTGTGTTTGATTCCTGTGTTCTACAATAGGCTGATCTTCTGTGGGTTCACAGCTTCTTACTGGCAGTCCCTGGGTTAAGAATGTCCGACTTACGGACAACTTGTACTTATGAATGGACTGTCATAAAGCCTGTTATATTAAAAAATTGAGTTTAATACAATGATTTGTAATAACGAACACACACACTACTTGTGACATGAAAACATTGCATGGCTTCAGTGGTTCATCAGCTCGAAGGAGAACGCTGTCCGCCATTTCAAGTCAGATCACATTGCTGTTAGCACTGTGTTGAGTGTGTAACTTGGTATTTGGCTTACGTTTTTCTCTTCTTTACCTTTGTAACCATGCCTCCGAAGCATAAGTCTAATGCAAGTGTTGGTGATGCATAAAAGAAAAGGAAAACAATCACGATTGAAAATAAAGTGGAAATAATAAAGCAATCAGGAAGAGGTGAAACACCATCAGTCATTAGAAAAGTGTTAGGCTACAGTCAGTCAACGATCAGAACAATTTTAAAAGATAAAGTGAGAATAATGGAGCATGGGAAAGGCCCTGCCCTGATGTACACCACGATTACTACTAAGCAACACAATGGTTTAATCATTGAAATGGAAAGGCTATTGATAATTTGGTTGCACAATCCAGATCAGCATCCATGCCTATTAGCCTTGCCTTAGTGCAAGAAAAGGCTCACAGTCTTTTCAGTGATTTAAAAGTTGCATGTGCAACAAGTGAAGGCGATTGTGATGAGGAATTTGCTGCATGCAGAGGTTGGTTCAGTTGCTTCAAAGTGAGGACAAATTGACATAATGTTAAAGTGCAAGGTGAAGCGGTGAGTGCTGATGTAAGTGCTACACGTGATTTTCCTGAAATGTTGAAAAAAATTATTGAAGAGGGAGGTTATTTGCCAGACCAAATATTTAATGTAGACGAGACAGACTTATTTTGGAAAAAGAATGCCTGAAAGGACCTACATTTTGAAAGAGGAAAAAAGTGCCCCAGGGCATAAGACATCGAAGGCTAGGCTAACATTGCTTGGGGGTAACACATCTGGAGATTTCAAGCCTTTGCTTGTGTATCGCTCCCTAAATCTGAGAGCACTTCTTGGGTTACAGTTGCCATCTTTGGAGATTGGTTCTGGAACCATTTTGTCCTTGCTGTTGAACGTTATTGCTTGGGTTAGGGTTAGGGTTAACCCAAGAAAATTCCTTTCAAGATTCTCCTTGTGCTTAACAACACACCCAGACATCCAAGCACTTTAGATAACCTTCACCCCAATGTAAAGGTTGTATTTTTACCCCCCAACACCATATCACTACTTTAGCCAATGGATCAGGGAGTCATAGCCTCCTTTAAGGCCTGTTATTTATCACAGACCTTCTCTGAAGCAGTCAGGGCTACCCAAGATGATGTGATGAGTTCTGAAGGAATTATAACGTCTATGATGCCATCAGAAATATTGCTGATTCTTGGGATGAAATGGAGCAATCAAATACGAAAGGAGTGTGGGACAAATTGTGCCCGCAGTCCATGCATGCTTTTCAGGGGTTTACAGCTGATGGCAGGCAAGCTGCGGCTGATACTGGTAATCAGCTGCATTTAGACATCAGTGAAAATGATGTACAGTTACTCGACTCCCATGCTGAAGAAAGACCGTATGGAACTAGAGCAGCAGATGATAGCATTGGAGGAAGAAGATTGGGACCTAAAAACTCCAAAACCAGAAAAGTCAGGAGAAGCCTTTCGTCTTACTGAAACAGGAATGGCAAAGTTAGAGGAGCAAGATCCTAACACAGAGAGGTTCACCAAAGTTTACCATACGGTTACTGAGGGCCTCAGCTGCCACAAGGCCATTTATGACAAGAAAAAGAAAAGCTCTGTACAAACCTCCTTTGGTGCCCACTTCAGGAAATTGACTCCCCCCACCCACCAGCAGCAGACTCAGACCCTGACTCCCCAGCTCCAGCCCCGTCTACTTCAACAGTAGCCACCTCTCCATCATCTTCTCCTGCATCATCCAACTGCTAATGTTATCGTCATGTTAACTGATAAACGCCCCTTCTAGAATGCAAGACATTGATGGAACAAGATGGTCTTTTTTCTTTTCTATCAAAGCTGTTTTACGAACTGTTTCTTTCATGTTTTTTACAGTACTGTATACCTACAGTACACACACACACACACACACACAGAGATTCTCTGTCTCTCTTCAGTACAGTATCATATGTAGTTACTTTTATTATTACTGTATTATGTGCTGTATTATTACGTTGAAGGTGTTTCAGTGTATTGGGAAGTATTTTATACGCACAGAAAGATAAAATATATATTAAATACTAAGAGAAACATTTGACTGATGCTAAATAACTGTTCTGACTTACCTACAAATTTAAAGACAGACTTAGGAACGGATCGCGGGGACTGTCTTTATTTGCAATAAAGTCACATACCTAGTTTTGGCAGTTTGCTACTGAGTGTGGGGCAGAGTTTGTGGAAGGAGGTTTACTGCCATGTCTGGTGGAACGCCTGACATACTACAACGTGCTGGTTGACCTCTTGAGAGTAGGAGACTCCTGACATAGGCTCTGCTTCAGCTGCTACAGCAAAAGGAAGCCCTGGCCGGCTTGCGCCGAGAGTTTGCGTCCTACAAGTTGACTCACAGCTGCTCCGCCACAAGGTCCAGAAACCAGCTGACTAGCCAGGAGATACTCAGGCAGGTAGGCCTTGTACCGATGCGGCTGGCTGGAGGGAGCAAGGAATGGGGGACCTGGCACAACAGGCACCAAAGCCCAGCTCCGCTCATCTCTCTTGGACTTGCCTAGAAGCTGTGGCAGCAGGCCAAGGAGCACTGGGCCTTGGTGGAAGACCTGAAGCTGGAGCTGGCGAGGGAGGCCAAGCGGAACAGCAATACCGTGACAGGTACGGGGCCCGGCCCTCTCCAGCCCCCCTCAGCTTGCCTGTTTTGCTCCAGGCCTGGCACGTGGAGTCGGGGGCCTCATCTGGTCGGGCCTTGTTTCAGATCTAGCCCGCCTGGAGCTGGCTGTGCAGAGCCTGTGCCAGGAGGCAGTAGCCGAGCGGAAGCAGCAGCAGCGGGAGCTGGCTGCGCTGCAGCACCAGGTCTGCCAAGCGCAGGCGCTGCTGGGGCAGAGCCGCCGGCTGTGTGCGCAGAAGGAACGGGTGAGTGTGGCTGCTGACCCTGCCCGGGGAGGCTGGCTGGGGAGGGCTTTGCTGGGGCCATGTTGGAGCTCCCTCATGCCCCTCCTCTCCCTCAGGCCATCCAGAAACGGGACAGGCTCCTTCGAAGGGCATGGGCTAGCCACAGCGTCTTTCAGGAGCGGGCCCGAGCCCATTCCTTGAATGCCACCTCGCGGGAAGCAAAGCACGGCTCTTGGTGCGCTGGGGCACCGGTGCTGCAACAGAGGCGGCCCAAGAGCCCAGAACAGTGGTGGCCAGCTGGTAAGGAGACTGGCTTCTGGGGACTTCGGGTCAGGTGGAGCAGAGCACAGAGGGGCCGATTGGTGTGTGGCTCCTTCCTGCCCACCACCTTTCACCAGCTTGCAGGCAGAAATTCTATTTCATTCTTACTTATATAGAGACATCTGTCCCATTCTTCTAATGATGGGGTAAGCGCCCTCCAAGAGTCAACTGCCAGCACAGCTTCCAAGCTGTGATCCTGGCCCAGTCAAAGCATGTTAGCGCACAGAAGTGGCCTGACCTTCCAGTCCCTCCTGGTTCAAAGCACTTTTGCTGCCTGGCCTGCCTGAGCCTTTCCTTCCACCCCGCAGGGCAGGCACTGGGGCAGGAAGAAGCAGCCATGAAGGGGCCCCAGGAGCAGCTGGTGGGGGGTGACCCAGAGCTCCAGCGTCTTGGGAAGGTTGGCCTCCCGTTGGAGGCTCTCCATGGAAGAGAGCGTAGAGCTGAAGCAGGACTGGGTCAGACAAGGTATCTTCCCTTGGCCCGGGACGGGAAGGGGTCTTGCCTCTGGTCGAGGGATAAGTGATTTGCTTTCTTCTTAGTTTCTTGGGAGGAGGTGGTCCTGCTGCTGCCGCCGCTGCTGCCACTACCTCTGCCAGAGGATTACTGAGGGAGCTAATAGAGGAGCTGAGCTGGTCCAAGTGGCAGCCTCTGCAGGCAGCGTCCATGCTGGAGCTGGAGATGTTCCAGCGGCAGGTGAGCTGCACATGGCCTAAAGGAAGGGGCAAGAGCCTGCCTATCTATCCCAGAGAGCAAGTGCGCCAGGCTCTGTGGCAACTGGAAAGCCGCATCTCTGGGGTGGCAGCACTCGCAGAGCCAGAATGCATGCGAGAATTGACAGCCACCTTCCCATGCAGTTGCAGGAGGAGTGGAGCGTGCAGGGCCTGCAGGCCTGCATGATGGAGCAGAAGGCAGAGAACTGCTCTCTGCAGGAGCAGCTGACCAAGCAGACGGCTGCGCTGAGGCTGGCACGATGGAGCTTCAGGCAGGCCTGGCTGCAGCTGCAGCAGCAGGCAGCAAAGGTGAGCGAGCTCAGAGGGATGACGCGCTGTGGCTGGGCAGCTGCCCCGTCCTGGCAGCACACATCAGCTGATGCCAGGGCCAGAGATCTCAGAATCCTCAGCAAGGGCTCCAGCCTCTCCATTGCCCCCCCCCCCCGGTTTCTCTCCCAGCGTGCAGGGTAGGTGGTGTTCTGTTGCCGGGGAGGGAGAACCGGATCCAGGAGGGCCAAGTTCTGCCTGCAGCATGCAACAACATGACTCCTTTTCTGGCAGGCACGGTGCTGGCAGAAAGAGCATGACATAGCCCAGCTTGCACTGTGAGGAGGGCAAGGGCGGGTGGGAGTGGGACCAGGCCCCACCTCTAGTCCTGGATGCAACAGTGAGTCTCTGCCCTCCGTGGAGACGCTCCAGCCTTCGCTGGCTCCTTGCCAGCCAGAAGCAACCCTGTTTGCCTTCCTAGCACCCCAAAGTCCTAGCTGCACCCTCTCCACAACTCTCCTCACTATTTGCAGCTGATCTTGCTTCCATATTCTGCCTGGCTCCCAGGGAGGGAAATGATCCCTCTCCTGGCCTCTGGGCCGGCCTGTTTCAAGGAGATCTCCAAAGGGAAAAAAATTTTGCATTTCCCCTTTCCATGCCTGTTGTCCCACGCACACCGCCAAAGCGGGCGGGCAGAAGGGGGAAATGGCGGTGATTGACTGAGGATCTTGTCACTCCCTGATGTTCTTCCTGCCACTTGGGCATGCAGCAGGCCTGCCCAGGTGTGACCAGGAATCAAACTGGAAGCTTTCTGCAGGCGGAGCTCCAGCCCTTTATGTCTTTTGGAGGGTGGCAGAAGGAGCAAAGAGCAACTCTGGAGCTGCCAGAGTCTAACCTTCTCCAGCGTCCCTTGTCTGGTGAGTGGCAGCGGATTCCTCTCATCTTTGGCACTTTATCACATTGGCAAGATCCTTCGTGAGAGCTCTCTGGATTAAAGCATGGCAACCAACCTGGACTGCTCTCTTTTCTTCACCCAGTAGATAGACTCCTTACAAATCTCCTTGGAGGCGTCACGTGTTAGCCAACACTGCCTGCACCAGGAGAGTGAATTGGTGGTGGCCGATGTTCGCCAGTGGGTAAAGGAGCAAAAGTGAGTGTCACCCTGAGAGAGATTGCTGAATTTCCCATGGGGGAATTTGGGGCAAAGGGGAGGTCTTGGCAGCTTCCTCACCATCATCCTTCTGTTACAGGCAGGTGAATGAGGAATTGGGCCACAAACTCCGAGTGCAGATCAAGCAAATTGCCCAACTCACTGGCGAGAGAGAGTGAGTGAGAAAAACTGCCCTTCGGTGCTGGGGTGGGGGGAGCACTTCTAGGACTCTCTGCCACCTTGGTGAAGTGAGGCCACCTGCATGCTTAATTAGGGATGGATTGAAAAGTAGCTGTGGGTGCCTTTGAATCCCGGGCAGCTTTCCTTTCAAAGGCCTACAAGGATCACGTGGGCTGAGACAGCCCTGGAGTTTTGCACCCGTTCTTCCTCCCACAGCCTTCTCCGTGAACTAGTGGAGAGACTCCAGCAGGACAACCAGCGGTTGAAGAATGAAGCCAGTGAGAAGCGCATTGTATGTGAGCGCATCAAGGTGAGTGAATGGTATCCTCTGCTGAGAACCCACCAGAGACTGGGAGGACAGCCCGCACCAGGGCAGAGTAGATGACAGCTGACGACGGCCCAACTCTCTGATTTCCTTGATCGGCCATGTAGCAGAGGGAGAACAGTATTGACTAAAGGAGGCATACTTTGACCTGCTCCTATGAAGCCCTCTTCATTGCTGCTGGTCGCACAACGTAACACTTTGTGCTGGAAAGGAAGTGAGCTGCCAGTCGATGGCGGGTGTCTCCAATTCACTGACGGGTGAGAAGGATGTTTACCTCAGTGCTAGCTGAGCATTTAAAAAACCCTGTGTTACCATGCCACTCTAGAGCATGCACGTATTCTGACTGTGCTGCTATGGCCACTTAGAGGAGTCCAGCCTCTGGTTTTAATTTCTGAGTGATTTGTTTTTCTTTAAAATAAAAGACCAATTGCTGCTACTAATGGGTGGATGAACCGTCATGGAAGCAGGCTCACGTCTGCTCATTACTGCTCTGTAATTGGATTACCATTCTTCAATTAGTTTATAGCATGAACATTATTGTTATTTTTGTTAGCATATATAAACCTCCAAAGCTAACCCATCCTTGAAAAACTGACTCAAGCACGGACCACGTGAATTGGAAAGGGCCTGGCAGATATCTGGCCATCAGCCCATCTGAAAATCTTCAGCAAGGAGGCTGCCACTGTTCAGGCAGACTTGTTTCCTACTTAGCAGCTCTGTCAGGAAATTCCTAAGAAAGCTTAAATTTCATTTCTTTTGTTTGCAGGCTGTTCATCCTCATCCTTCAAGATATTTGTAGGGACCTCTCATTGCTCCCCTTAGTTGTCTCTTTGGCAAGGCCCTGGTGCCCAGCTCCTTGAACCATTCCTTGTAGGCTCGGTTGCCAGATTGAAGCATCCTGGTAGCTCTCTTGTGCCTCAAACTGGGCACGGCCCTCCAAGTGCCATCTAGCCAATGCAACTATTATCTGCGTACATTCCTCCCAGAGCTGACTTAAAAACGTTATATGGTCACATTCCCACAAGGTGGCTGATTGAGAGATTATGGGCCTTCAAGTTGGTGTCAACTCTTAGCAACCATAGATTTTTCTCCATGACAAGGTGAACCTGATCTCCTATCCCTGGGTTATTTTCTGAGCAGATACTGGGGTAGCTGACATCCCTCATTCACTATCACTTGACTTCTTCAGAGCTCAGTGAGCTAATTTAGAGAGGCATTGTCTACATCCCCTGCATATAGTAGTAATAGTCTAGAATACTACTTACTTCTTTTAGTCTTCTCCAGATGCTCTCAACAGGACTTGAACATCTTCAGAGGCATTTTGGCTGCTTTACATACAAAAGCTTCCCTTTTAATTGGATCTATCACTTCTAATCAAGGAATAGCCTCTCAGTTTCACGTTTCAGTTGACTCATCCCACCTGATTTCTGGGATATCTGCAAAGCCTGTTTGATTCTTAGTCTCTCCAGTTTGTTACCCGTGATCTGGTTTACACCATGGAGACTGTTTGCAGGTCTCCCCCCTGCCACAGGATGAGGACTTCTGAATCCTCTTTCCTGCCTTATTCCTTCTCCGTTATTGTCACTGATGCCCAGCATTCCTCTCCATTTGATCCACCCCCGCCCTAGATTTGGTTTAGCTATCCTGGCAAAGGTGGGATGCTCCCTAAGAGTCCTTTATGTTGCTGATACAGACCACGGCTGAGAAGTCCAAAGGTTTCTTGATGACGCTTCTGAGCTGGTGCTTGCATCCAGGACATTGCTTTCCCTTCTTGTTATCCTCCACTCAGAGGAGTGGAAGTGATTGGCTGCTTCGATGAACCCATGGTAATCTTACCACCATGCACAGTAGTACTCCTCTCCCAGCGATCTTAGCACATTTGAAGGCCTACAGCAATCTGAGGAGACCAGAATGAAGGCTGGAGTATATTGAACGGGTCAGCAGCAAGGCTGCCCACTGAAATTGGGCAAAAGAGGTTTGCTTCCAATTTTGGCCTGGCAAACAGCAGGCTGAGTCTCTCCACTCCGTGTGGATGGGCCATCCCGTGAAGCTGGCCAGAAAATACTGAGAGCAGAGAGAGCCACTTCTTCCCACAACTAACCTATGGAATTCAAAAGCACAAGATGCCATTGCCCATAACTGGGCAATTTGAAGGGGGACTGGAGCAATTTAGGGAGGGCAGGTCTACGAAAGAGCTCTTGGTCTTGACGAAGCCTTGTGACTGCCAGATCAGGGGCAGCTGCATCCAAAAAGGGGTTGCAAGGTGACCAGTGGGAGAGAATTGTATCTCCAGCTCCTGTTTGCAAGCAGAGGCAAGCTGATTGGCCCCTGAGGGAAAACAGAACGCTGGACTAGGGTGGGTCTGGGTCTGGTCTTATGGGCACTGGTGGGCAAACACGAAGTCTCTTTGGTTGCAGGCTCTCCACAACAGTGATTTGGAGCCGCACACTGTACTGCAGCAACTCTGGCAAATACTTCCATGGTGAACGAATGAATGCTTCTACTCCCATTGCTCTCACACACCTTCCCAGGGGCCAAACCGGAGAGGGCAGATCTGTGGTGAAAGTGGAGCATGTCCCCTTCCTGCAGGCTAGGCTTTGCTCTCAAGAGGACCTGTCAAAGCACTTCAGCCATCATGATGCACTACTTCTACCAGAGTACCACCCTCACTTGAAAAAGAAAGACCCGTTACACTTCACATCAAAACAGCAGCCACTGAAAGGTCCAGGAGCAACAATGTTTATATAAACAATAAAATTATATCTTGATCTCAGCTGAAGAAGGGCCCTGCCAACTTAGCCCAGCAGGAAGCTATGTACAACGCAGAGATGGCAGCGACTACAGACCAAAGCGAGCTGGCGTGTGGCGAGGCGTGGCCAGCTGGCCCTGCTCCTTGCGCCCTGGCGTGTAGATCTTTGTGGACCTGCAGAAAGGGAGACAGACCAAGGGCTGAGTGGAGCAGGCTACCACAAACTCTAAACTTCCCCACTGGAGCCCAAAGGGTCATACCTGACACTGCCCACCGGGTTACAACGCTCCTGCTCTTCTCTGCGGGCACGGAGCTGCTCTTCAGCTAGAGCCATCTCCTCTTCCATGGCAGATGCTTCCTCCTTGGCTCGCCGCCGGCTCTCCTAGACCAGAGCAAGCAGCCACGCAACGATTTCATCCATCTGTCATCTTCCATCCTGCTTTATATTTACTATGACATATGGTCCAACCCAAACACTGTCACATAAGCCTGCTGTTTATATTTTGGTTGATAAGCAAGTGATATTAATTAAAAAAAATTGAATTGCCAAGCCAGACCTCTAGCTTGCCTGTATCAGAGCTGGCTTTCTTCCATTTTGGAGCAACCAGATGCTCCCGCCAGCAGCTCACCTGACGAGACTTGCCAGCATGCTTGATGCTGTAGAACATGGGCCCCAATTCAGCCAGCCATTCACCATCCACAGCTGTGACACACTGCATGTACTCCTGCAGGGCAAAGGCAGAGGTGGGGAACTGGTACCTATGTGAGGGAAGTGGGCCCACCCACACCTCCCAGAACTGTCAGCGACAGGCCCCTTCCTCCAAAGCATCCCCTTACCTTGGTGGTCATCACCAGTTCATGGTAGACAATGTAGTCAGGAGTGTAGCCCATTCCAAAAAGCGAGCTGGTGGGGTGCAGGTGACAGCGCATCCCCGTCCGGATGTTGACGTATTCCCCAATGCCCTGTAGCAGACAAGCAAGGTCAACCCCGGTTCCTCCTTAGGCACTTAACGTGCTTTAGGAAATCAGCCAGAGCGCAAAATCAGCCTGGAACAGCCAGAAGAGAAGCAGAGAAAAGGGGTCAAGGGCCAAACACTTGGGTGGAAGCGATGCGGAAAACTTGATGTGGTATTTTGGTTACGGAATTCCAGCAGAACACTCCTGTTTTGGGCTTCCTCGGTGCTGGTGCCAGAATCCAGACTTGGCCTGCCCTTCCTGCTGCCCACAAAGAACTTAATCTTGGTGGGGATTGTGGGAAGGGAAATGAGCCTCATACAGCACTGCCTAGCAAGTGGCAGGGCAGCCTTGGAGGGAAGGGGCACAAAGCCAGTCTCCCAAAGGTAACAGATGGAGCAAGCAGATGCACAGGAGCCCCTGCTCTACAGCTGGGCGCTGGTGGTCCAAGGGAAGAAGGTGAGAGTCCCGCACCTTCAGTTTTGCAGCCTGGTGGAAATAAGCTGCGCAGATGCACTTGCGAACCACGTCCCAGTCAGTGCCACAGGAAGCCAAGCTCATGTGCTGCTGCACCATAATGTCCTTCAGCTGTGCTCGTACCTCCCGCACCTTGAAGGGCAAGAATATGGTCAGCTCCATACACCGGTCACTCTGTGGCTGGGGTCTCTTGGGGCCTGCCCCACACCCACCTTGCGCATAGCCTTTGCATGGATGAAGTGCTCATTGCACCAGAGTGTCGAATAGCTGTTGTTTTTCCACTGTAGATAAACGTTCAGGTAAGTCAAGTGGTCGCTCTCTGGAACAGCAAACTTCTCTCGCACCTGGTCACTTTCTTCCTCCCGGCCCTATGGAGAGATGATGGAGACAAAAGTGACAGACCATGAAGCCTAATCCCTGGAGCAACCACAAGCACCCCTGACACACCTTTGGCCGGTAGAAAATGGCTGGGACAGAGAGCATGGAGACAATCAGCAGGATCTCAGAGCTGCAGCCCATGTCACAGGAAACAATCAGCATCTTGGAGAGGGCAGGATCAAGGGGAAATTCCACCATCAGGCGTCCGGTTGATGTCAGACCACCTGAAGGGAAAGTGATCTCAGCCGAGCCCCCACAGAAGGCGCAAGAGCTGTCTGCATGTGGGGCAAGGGTTGCTCCGCCCTACCTGTGTTATCAAGTGCCCCAAGAATCCATAGCTGGTACATTGAGTTGAGCATGTTGTCTTCAGGAGGGGGATCCATAAAGTGGAACTGCAGCAGGTCCTGTACCCCCAAAGACTTGAGAAGCAGCACCACATTGGCCAGATTGGTACGCTGGATCTCTGGGACAGTGGTGGTCAGGAGCTCATTCTTGTAGGCGCTCTGGGTGTACAGTCTGCTCAGGAAAGAGAGCAACTGCCTCAGCACAGCAGCCTAGGTTTCACAGCTGCAGCCAAGCATTTATTGCAACCCCCGTTCACTGCAAGGAGACGCCTTGGATACGTACAACTCCTACCTGAAACACTGACCTGGGCCTGTTCTTCCAGCTCGGCCAGAACGCTGATTTGCATTAGCCTGGCTGATTGGATAGATTTGCAGGGCATCCATGCCAATCCGTGGGTTGAAAACCTGAAATGTAACAGGTAGAGTAAGTCAGTGCTTCAGTTGCATCCCTAGGACATTATGCTTTCCCTAACCAAGCTTCCTCACCTTCAGTTTGCAATACCCGGAGTCGATCACAAACATGATCCCATCAACTGTCAACGAAGTCTCTGCGATATTGGTGGCCACGATACATTTCCTGACTCCATCTGGTGCCTGCCAGGAATCCAAGTTTCAAGATGCAGCTGCCACTCCCCTCCCTCAGCAACCCAGCTTCCCCAAAGGAAAGGCCCTGAGGTAGTGGCTGCTGGCTCAGCATCTTTGCTTTCAGAAGCTAACCCTGCAAAGACTTGAATCAACAACCCCTTTGATCGAAATGGCCTGTAGCCACAGCTCCTGAAAAAAGCTGCTTATTTCTACTTCCTAAGAATAGAAACACGTTTGACTTCTCAGGCCACGGCACAAAATTCATCTCTACTCCCAGAACTCACTTCTGCTGCACTTCCTCCCCCTCTCTGTTCTTTACAGGTTGTCTTTGGTCCTGATTCAGCTTGCTGCAGATCATGCTGCTTGCCAACTATTCTACTTGTCTTGAGCTTGGGAGAAGTCATGATACATGCTTCAAGGTTCCAGCTAACACTGCCACGTAAATCTAAGACCATCATTAGTGGAAGGGCAGCAAGCTATACCTTCTGGAAGATCTTGGCCTGCAAATCTGAAGGCAGCTGAGAGTAGATCGGTAGTACAGCTAGAGCAGGTGCATTTTCCAACTCTTCCAGATGTTCCACAATCTGCTCAGATGTGACCTGCAGGGTGAAGTGAGGAGAATATATGGGCATTAAGAGGTTGACTAGGGCCTCAGAAACTTCTGCAGTAGGACTCACCTCAATGTCTTCCTGGCCCGGCATGAAAATAAGGATATCTCCAGGGGCACTGGAGAGATGAACTTGCAAGGCCTGCTTCACTGCTGCCTCCACGTAGTCTTCTTGCGGAGTCTGAAAGAGCAAAAAGAAGACTGACGCACCCATCCAGCTGTCCTCTACAGCGGCCCTGTATGGGAAGAGACGGGTCTGGTCACCCCATACCTTGCTAAAGAGAACATCAACAGGAAACGTGCGACCTGGGATATGGAAGATGGGCACATTTCCAAAGAAAGCTGCAAACTTCTCTGCATCCATGGTGGCTGAGGTGACAATCAACTTCAGATCCGAGCGTCGGGCTACCACCTATGAAAGAACAGCATCAGTGTCAAAAAGCAATAGGAAAATATTACTGTGCTGCCACATCTCCCAAATTACCTCCTTCGCAGTCGCCCACTTTGCATTTTCTTCCTTCCTTTTGCCACATGAAAGAACTTCAGCCTGAAAGCATTTGCCTTTTAGTTCTCAAGGGATTCACAACTTCCATTTCCTAACTAAAGACATCAGGGCCGCCTGTGCAATAGGTTGCTTCAACTCAGCTGCCTCTTCGCAACCCTTGTTATAACAAAATGTTGGAATGGGCAGCCAGTGCGTTTCAACCAAGTCCTGTCAAATCTGCTCACCAATAAACCTGAAGTAAAAGTTTAACCTGAGAACGGAAGGAGGAAAAGGCAAAGCCTCGTTGACTTTGAATGCCCTTACAGGAACTGAGAACTTCCTAGTCATTTGTGGAGCAAACAGTCATTTTGAAGATTGCACTGAAAAGCTTAACATCCTAACTGACCGATAAAAGACCTAAACAAGAACACACACCAATTTAAGGAGCAACCCTTGATCTCGTTGCTTAAAATAAGCCCACGGAAAAGAGGCAGGCAAATCCACATGCTCCAGATGTTCTGAACCACAGCTCCTGCTGTGAGGTTGTTGGGAACAGCATCGCTAGCGGGCACGGGGCCACCTACCTACAGCAATGCTGCGCATACCTGCTGAGCATCCTTCTGAACGGACAAAGGCTAAGGAGATTGGCAGTCACAGCCGAAGCAGGCAAGGGCCCCCACCAGGCCCGGAGCCACTTCACTGAAACGCAGTCAGGAAAGCTCTTTACCTCTCAGTTCTCTAAGCCCTCAAAATGGTGGCAACACTTCACGTTAATAGCTTTTTGAACAAGAGGTTGCTGGCCCTCTTAGGGTGAAATCAAAGCGGGTTTCAGAAGTTCAAATGGGAAGCTGCAAAACGGGCTTCTTTCAAGCAGCTCTGGGCAATGCCGGACCAGGTGGCGCACTTCTGGGCTCTGGCGAACTGCTGGGATGCGTGCTCAGCCCACGGTCCGCCAAGAGAACGAGCCAAAGCTGCTTACTCAGTGGGAAAGCCAGCACCGTCCTTTACAACTGCCAGACAGTCTGACTCTAATCGCCACCGTAGAGCAAATCCGCACCTGTGACGTTTAAAAAGGCCCCTACGAGGGCTTTCTGGGAGATTAAAAGCGGTGCTGGAGGAAGCATGCTCTTTTCCACCCGATCACGTCACATTTCTCTAGTTCAAAAGCACTACTCTGTTTACACGTATGCTTTTGTTATTGATACAACCCTTATTATTGCATGGGGATCTGCGTGCACGTCATTCCTCCAGCAACCACCTCAGGCAGCTTGGGGTGAAAGAATGTAACTTCCCCAACATTGAGTTTTTATGGCTAAAGGTCAATTTCAGCCTGGGTCCCATCCCTTGCTGTCTATTCTTCTGTGAGTTGCGGAATTTTTAAAGTAATGCACGCACCAGCTTTAGGTTGTGCTGAGCATGAACAAGTGAATGAGCCCCAGGAGAGCTGAGTATTCTTCCATTCCAGCCATGGCAAGAAACCCCAAGCAAATCCCACCAAGCACCTACTTCTCGCAGGAGGCCAAACAGCACATCTGTGTTGAGCGAGCGTTCGTGCGCCTCATCCATAATGATGGCACTGTAGTGGTCAAGGTCAGCTTCACGCAGAGACTCGCGAAGCAAGATCCCGTCGGTCATGTACTTAATCACAGTGCTCTCTGAAGTGCAGTCCTCAAAGCGGATGGCATAGCCCACCTGGCACAGACCCAAGGCCAAGGAGCTGTGCTTGTCAAGCAGGCAAGAAAGCGCCTGGCCTCCGCCAGGCTCCCTGACCCTCAGCCGGCTCCTACGGAAAGGAAGCCGCCCTGTCTTCTTTGGTCTGCTGTGCTCACCTCCTCCCCGAGGGCCACGCTCATCTCCTCGCTAACGCGCTTGGCCACGGACATAGCTGCCACTCGGCGTGGCTGCGTGCAGCCAATCATGCCGTAGTCCGTGTAGCCGTCCTTGTGTAGGTACTGGGTCAACTGCGTTGTTTTGCCACTGCCCGTCTCTCCCACCACAATCACAATGCTGTTGTCCCTGTTGGGAGAAGGCAGCAAGATCTATCGCTGACTGGAACAACACTGCGTGACCCCCTCCACCTCCTGGGTTTTTCGCTTTGCACAATGCCCCCACGTTCCACATAACGTTTAACAGAGGCATTCTGTTGCGGCTGTAGTACAGAATGCATCATTTTATTTGCCGGCACCTATGCCAGAATCTACTGGGTTAACAACAGCACAGAACTGACTTCAACAGGGCAGCTGCTCTCCCGTCCCCACAACCTCTCTGTCCCCAGAACGTCTTTGCAAAGGCCGGACAAGGCAGAAAGGGTGCAGACCTGATCACTGTCAAAAGCTCTTGTTGAACAGCGAAGATGGGCAAGTACTGCCTCTGCTCCACAATTGACTTCTTCTTGGCAAACTCGCTGCTCGCCTCACTCTTCTCTTTCACGTGTCCAGCAAACTTCTGTTCTGTCCTGCAAGGAGAGGCATCAGGGCTCTTCACCCCCTGCCAGGCCACAGGGCCCCCTGCCCTTCCCTCTTGACTTCCACCGTACCTGTAATCCACCGTGCCATCCTCGGCCAGGGCCTGCCCCGATTCCTCCTCCTCCTCCTTCTTTATGCCCATTATGTTGCCAAGCTTCGTACCTGCCAGCTCCCAGTGCCTGTGCTGGGCCTACAAGAGGAACACCAAACATTTATGCCTTTATTTGGTCTATTTCTGCACCATCATCTTTCATGGGCATTCACAGCAGCATACAATGAAAATCACAAGCCTAATAGCAACAAAAAGCCAACATAAGAGTCGAACCCATGCAACGATAGAAATCCCTCATCAAACAAGAAATCAAGCAAATAGAGATACAGCTAATATAAATCTAAGTCAATTAAAGTCGCTGGAGAGACATAGGCTCGAAAACGTCCTTCTAAATAACTCTGCTGTTCTCAAGGTCAGTGACGTGGGTGCCTGCTCCAGCAGGAGGTGCTATCAGAGGAAAATACTCTTTTTTGCTGTCCCTTAAATTTCCTGAGAAGGATCCCACAGCACACCAGGTGGGGTACTGAAAGTCAAATACAAGTCCTTCAAGTTGTATCTCAAAGGCTCAGGGTAATCAATGCTGCGCCCGTAACGTAGGCGCTATACGTAAACAGTGGCTCTCACCCGCTGCGTCCCACACCAATCACAGAAAGCGAGTAATCTTTAGAAGCCACCCCTTGCACAGCGCATCACAGTAACCCCGCTGGAAAGGACAAGAGTGTGACTTAGTGTAGCCCAGACTTCCTTTCCCACCTGAAGCTGGGCAAAGGCTCCTGTAGTCCCAGCCTCATCGGTAGCGAGGAGTCTAGGAGGACCGCCAAGGCTCCAATCTGCTCCTTCAGGGAGAAGGCTACCCCGTCTGGAGCAGAGGATGGTTTCTGGACTTCAACCTGTTTCTCTTCAGACTATGCATCAGGGCTTTCCCACTGTTCACGCTGGCTCCTCAGCTTCCTGCTCCAGCCTTTCACTCAGCCTTATGCGCCTTGTTGCTCTAATGCGCAGCCACTCGAGCGCCGCACTTACCTACCCTTCTGTTAGCGGTTCAGGGGAGATGGTGACCCACAGGCACCCCAACCCAGTAAGAAACTCAGCAAGCACCTTTTTACGCTCTTTTTGCTCCCGGTGCTTCCGCACCAACAGGCTGCCCTTCCGGGCAATGATAGCCAAGTCAGAGGTGGCGTCTTTGACAGGGACAACAGGCTCAGGCTGGAAAGAGTGAACAGAGCGATAATTTTAAGGCAGCAAAGGTCCACTGCTCCTTCCCGCCCCCCCCAGTACCACCTCACCTGACCTGCTTGGTGAAAACAATGCGTCCATCAAGGAAAGGAGGCACCAAGTTGTGCACCAGAAGGTGTACTCTGGCAGCATTATCCTCCTCAAAGTCCTCCTCCACCTCCAGCCGGTGTACCACACCACTTGTCAGCATGCGGTTGGTCTCCCAGCGCTCATTATCCTACCAGGCAGAAGACTAGATTGTTCAGGAGCTTGGGGGCCCCGCTAGCAGCAGCAGAGAACAGGTAGACCCATCACTCTGGATGACAGCCCAGCAGCAGTGGTCAAAGTTTCGTGCCCATCTAAGCCCAGATGCGCCTCCCCCACCCTTTCTAACCTCATTGATCTGCCTGCGCTGAGCCGAGATGCGCTTCTGCCTTTGCTTCTGCAAGTGCTGCTCTCGCTTCCTCACGTATTCCTCTGAGGACGCAGCCAGGGGGTTGTGGAACTCATCGTAGCCCTCATCCATCATGTACCAGTCCCGGTCAGCTTGCTGAGCAGAGGCAAAAAAGGATTAGGAAGCCTCCCCCCAAAAAGGCAGGGTCTCTTCTGCTGTGCTGATCCAGCGGTTTAGAGAAATCGCAACAGTGCTGCCCCTACCCGTGGCGAAAAAAAAGCCCTTTTCCCGACGCTACAAAGCCTGGACACAGATCTCTTGACCCCACTGACACTTCACCTTGAGCAGGCAAAGAGAGATCTCAAGCCCCGCAAGGGGTGGTCTTTTGTCATCCATAACCTGTCCCACCACATACTGAGGCAATGAAAAACTTCGCAGTCTAATAAAGGAGCACTGCCCCAGAGCTCCCACTTACAAAGCACGAAGCAGCATCAACCACCTGAGTTTTGCCTGGTGCTTATTCTGAAGCTTCTCGCTCTGCTTCTTCCCCTTCAGCCATTTTGCCCCGAACAGCAAGGTAACCACACTGGCAGCCCCAGGGGATAATGCTGCCACTCACCCGCTGATCGTCTTCCCACTGCTGCCGTTCCTCCTCCGTTTCAAATGCAATGCTGTCCTCGCCATCCTCGCCTCTCCCTAGAAAGAGTGTCTCGTGAGACACCAGTTCTGTCTTGGACTAAAGAAAGCCCAGGCCTCTCTCCTTCCTGAATCCTTGTTTTTCTTACCCCTGCCTCTGGAGAGCCACGGTGGTCCACCCAAACGCCTTTGGTTATCAGCCCACTCGTTATATTTGTAAGTAGGGGTGGGCAAAGGAGTCTCTTCAGGACATCTGTTCCTCCCGGACCTGTGAAGGGGAACCACCACAAAGCGGCAACTCACACAGTCTCAGGTGACCGAAACTAAGCTCGCTCAGGCCACCGTTGTGGCACTGCCTAACCTCGGGGGCGTTTAGCCCTGCCATACCGTTCGCGGTCCCCCCGCCTCTCACTGTCGCGAGGAGGAGCAGGTCCTCGGTGGCTTCGCTCGGAGTCCCGGTAGGATGGAGCAGGGGAGGGAGATTCCCACTGGGAGCGGCGAGAACCGCTGCAACCGCTCTCTTCTTCCTCCCAGCCCGAGTGCGATGGCGTCGCTGCATCTGAGCGCAGGAAAGGAAACAAGCGTGAGTGCCCAAAAGCCGCCGTTGACCCTTCCGCTACGGCGGGATCCGCGGCGCAAAGCAGAGGGAGAGGAACCCGCTGCACCTTTGGGTTGGTGGCGAGGGCTCTCTGGCTCGTTTCTCTGGCTACTGCTGCCGCCGCTGCTACTGCTGCTGCCGCTCCTGCTCCTGCTCCTCTCCGAAGGGTCTTCCTTCTCGGCGCGAGCGCTGCGCCGCCCGCGGTCACGGTTGTCTGTCGAGAAAGGCGCCGGTCAGCCGCGGAGGGCGCCGGTCAGCCGCGAGGCCGAGGCCGGTGCCGGTCTCACCTCGGTCGCGCTTGCGCTCGTGCTCCCTCCCCCCCTCCCTCTCCTTT